GTGAGTTTCCACAATGTGGAGGCACAGAGGTACATTTCGGACTCCTTACCTCTTCCGGTTCCCAAATTTGGTCCATTTGATGTTCCTCCCTTGGATTGAGACCGTTTCACTCATGTTTGTCCTCATAGTCATGTGTAGAAGCTATTAATCCATGTTTTGGTAAGTATGGGTCCATCTAGTTCATCTTATACACTACAAGTGAGTTTCCACAATGTGGAGGCACAGAGGTACATTTCGGACTCCTTACCTCTTCCGGTTCCCAAATTTGGTCCATTTGATGTTCCTCCCTTGGATTGAGACCGTTTCACTCATGTTTGTCCTCATAGTCATGTGTAGAAGCTATTAATCCATGTTTTGGTAAGTATGGGTCCATCTAGTTCATCTTATACACTACAAGTGAGTTTCCACAATGTGGAGGCACAGAGGTACATTTCGGACTCCTTACCTCTTCCGGTTCCCAAATTTGGTCCATTTGATGTTCCTCCCTTGGATTGAGACCGTTTCACTCATGTTTGTCCTCATAGTCATGTGTAGAAGCTATTAATCCATGTTTTGGTAAGTATGGGTCCATCTAGTTCATCTTATACACTACAAGTGAGTTTCCACAATGTGGAGGCACAGAGGTACATTTCGGACTCCTTACCTCTTCCGGTTCCCAAATTTGGTCCATTTGATGTTCCTCCCTTGGATTGAGACCGTTTCACTCATGTTTGTCCTCATAGTCATGTGTAGAAGCTATTAATCCATGTTTTGGTAAGTATGGGTCCATCTAGTTCATCTTATACACTACAAGTGAGTTTCCACAATGTGGAGGCACAGAGGTACATTTCGGACTCCTTACCTCTTCCGGTTCCCAAATTTGGTCCATTTGATGTTCCTCCCTTGGATTGAGACCGTTTCACTCATGTTTGTCCTCATAGTCATGTGTAGAAGCTATTAATCCATGTTTTGGTAAGTATGGGTCCATCTAGTTCATCTTATACACTACAAGTGAGTTTCCACAATGTGGAGGCACAGAGGTACATTTCGGACTCCTTACCTCTTCCGGTTCCCAAATTTGGTCCATTTGATGTTCCTCCCTTGGATTGAGACCGTTTCACTCATGTTTGTCCTCATAGTCATGTGTAGAAGCTATTAATCCATGTTTTGGTAAGTATGGGTCCATCTAGTTCATCTTATACACTACAAGTGAGTTTCCACAATGTGGAGGCACAGAGGTACATTTCGGACTCCTTACCTCTTCCGGTTCCCAAATTTGGTCCATTTGATGTTCCTCCCTTGGATTGAGACCGTTTCACTCATGTTTGTCCTCATAGTCATGTGTAGAAGCTATTAATCCATGTTTTGGTAAGTATGGGTCCATCTAGTTCATCTTATACACTACAAGTGAGTTTCCACAATGTGGAGGCACAGAGGTACATTTCGGACTCCTTACCTCTTCCGGTTCCCAAATTTGGTCCATTTGATGTTCCTCCCTTGGATTGAGACCGTTTCACTCATGTTTGTCCTCATAGTCATGTGTAGAAGCTATTAATCCATGTTTTGGTAAGTATGGGTCCATCTAGTTCATCTTATACACTACAAGTGAGTTTCCACAATGTGGAGGCACAGAGGTACATTTCGGACTCCTTACCTCTTCCGGTTCCCAAATTTGGTCCATTTGATGTTCCTCCCTTGGATTGAGACCGTTTCACTCATGTTTGTCCTCATAGTCATGTGTAGAAGCTATTAATCCATGTTTTGGTAAGTATGGGTCCATCTAGTTCATCTTATACACTACAAGTGAGTTTCCACAATGTGGAGGCACAGAGGTACATTTCGGACTCCTTACCTCTTCCGGTTCCCAAATTTGGTCCATTTGATGTTCCTCCCTTGGATTGAGACCGTTTCACTCATGTTTGTCCTCATAGTCATGTGTAGAAGCTATTAATCCATGTTTTGGTAAGTATGGGTCCATCTAGTTCATCTTATACACTACAAGTGAGTTTCCACAATGTGGAGGCACAGAGGTACATTTCGGACTCCTTACCTCTTCCGGTTCCCAAATTTGGTCCATTTGATGTTCCTCCCTTGGATTGAGACCGTTTCACTCATGTTTGTCCTCATAGTCATGTGTAGAAGCTATTAATCCATGTTTTGGTAAGTATGGGTCCATCTAGTTCATCTTATACACTACAAGTGAGTTTCCACAATGTGGAGGCACAGAGGTACATTTCGGACTCCTTACCTCTTCCGGTTCCCAAATTTGGTCCATTTGATGTTCCTCCCTTGGATTGAGACCGTTTCACTCATGTTTGTCCTCATAGTCATGTGTAGAAGCTATTAATCCATGTTTTGGTAAGTATGGGTCCATCTAGTTCATCTTATACACTACAAGTGAGTTTCCACAATGTGGAGGCACAGAGGTACATTTCGGACTCCTTACCTCTTCCGGTTCCCAAATTTGGTCCATTTGATGTTCCTCCCTTGGATTGAGACCGTTTCACTCATGTTTGTCCTCATAGTCATGTGTAGAAGCTATTAATCCATGTTTTGGTAAGTATGGGTCCATCTAGTTCATCTTATACACTACAAGTGAGTTTCCACAATGTGGAGGCACAGAGGTACATTTCGGACTCCTTACCTCTTCCGGTTCCCAAATTTGGTCCATTTGATGTTCCTCCCTTGGATTGAGACCGTTTCACTCATGTTTGTCCTCATAGTCATGTGTAGAAGCTATTAATCCATGTTTTGGTAAGTATGGGTCCATCTAGTTCATCTTATACACTACAAGTGAGTTTCCACAATGTGGAGGCACAGAGGTACATTTCGGACTCCTTACCTCTTCCGGTTCCCAAATTTGGTCCATTTGATGTTCCTCCCTTGGATTGAGACCGTTTCACTCATGTTTGTCCTCATAGTCATGTGTAGAAGCTATTAATCCATGTTTTGGTAAGTATGGGTCCATCTAGTTCATCTTATACACTACAAGTGAGTTTCCACAATGTGGAGGCACAGAGGTACATTTCGGACTCCTTACCTCTTCCGGTTCCCAAATTTGGTCCATTTGATGTTCCTCCCTTGGATTGAGACCGTTTCACTCATGTTTGTCCTCATAGTCATGTGTAGAAGCTATTAATCCATGTTTTGGTAAGTATGGGTCCATCTAGTTCATCTTATACACTACAAGTGAGTTTCCACAATGTGGAGGCACAGAGGTACATTTCGGACTCCTTACCTCTTCCGGTTCCCAAATTTGGTCCATTTGATGTTCCTCCCTTGGATTGAGACCGTTTCACTCATGTTTGTCCTCATAGTCATGTGTAGAAGCTATTAATCCATGTTTTGGTAAGTATGGGTCCATCTAGTTCATCTTATACACTACAAGTGAGTTTCCACAATGTGGAGGCACAGAGGTACATTTCGGACTCCTTACCTCTTCCGGTTCCCAAATTTGGTCCATTTGATGTTCCTCCCTTGGATTGAGACCGTTTCACTCATGTTTGTCCTCATAGTCATGTGTAGAAGCTATTAATCCATGTTTTGGTAAGTATGGGTCCATCTAGTTCATCTTATACACTACAAGTGAGTTTCCACAATGTGGAGGCACAGAGGTACATTTCGGACTCCTTACCTCTTCCGGTTCCCAAATTTGGTCCATTTGATGTTCCTCCCTTGGATTGAGACCGTTTCACTCATGTTTGTCCTCATAGTCATGTGTAGAAGCTATTAATCCATGTTTTGGTAAGTATGGGTCCATCTAGTTCATCTTATACACTACAAGTGAGTTTCCACAATGTGGAGTCACAGAGGTACATTTCGGACTCCTTACCTCTTCCGGTTCCCAAATTTGGTCCATTTGATGTTCCTCCCTTGGATTGAGACCGTTTCACTCATGTTTGTCCTCATAGTCATGTGTAGAACCTATTAATCCATGTTTGGTAAGTATGGGTCCATCTAGTTCATCTTATACACTACAAGTGAGTTTCCACAATGTGGAGTCACAGAGGTACATTTCGGACTCCTTACCTCTTCCGGTTCCCAAATTTGGTCCATTTGATGTTCCTCCCTTGGATTGAGACCGTTTCACTCATGTTTGTCCTCATAGTCATGTGTAGAAGCTATTAATCCATGTTTGGTAAGTATGGGTCCATCTAGTTCATCTTATACACTACAAGTGAGTTTCCACAATGTGGAGGCACAGAGGTACATTTCGGACTCCTTACCTCTTCCGGTTCCCAAATTTGGTCCATTTGATGTTCCTCCCTTGGATTGAGACCGTTTCACTCATGTTTGTCCTCATAGTCATGTGTAGAAGCTATTAATCCATGTTTTGGTAAGTATGGGTCCATCTAGTTCATCTTATACACTACAAGTGAGTTTCCACAATGTGGAGGCACAGAGGTACATTTCGGACTCCTTACCTCTTCCGGTTCCCAAATTTGGTCCATTTGATGTTCCTCCCTTGGATTGAGACCGTTTCACTCATGTTTGTCCTCATAGTCATGTGTAGAACCTATTAATCCATGTTTGGTAAGTATGGGTCCATCTAGTTCATCTTATACACTACAAGTGAGTTTCCACAATGTGGAGGCACAGAGGTACATTTCGGACTCCTTACCTCTTCCGGTTCCCAAATTTGGTCCATTTGATGTTCCTCCCTTGGATTGAGACCGTTTCACTCATGTTTGTCCTCATAGTCATGTGTAGAACCTATTAATCCATGTTTGGTAAGTATGGGTCCATCTAGTTCATCTTATACACTACAAGTGAGTTTCCACAATGTGGAGTCACAAGGTACATTTCGGACTCCTTACCTCTTCCGGTTCCCAAATTTGGTCCATTTGATGTTCCTCCCTTGGATTGAGACCGTTTCACTCATGTTTGTCCTCATAGTCATGTGTAGAAGCTATTAATCCATGTTTGGTAAGTATGGGTCCATCTAGTTCATCTTATACACTACAAGTGAGTTTCCACAATGTGGAGGCACAGAGGTACATTTCGGACTCCTTACTTCGGGTTTAGATTGCCTCAAATTTTCCCAATTTATAAACCCAACTAATGAGCTGCAAGTGCACATCCTTAAAGATGTTAACTTCTTCAATTGCTGGAATTGAGTTGACTCCAATTCTCTTCAGAGTGCTCTGGAGTCTCTTGTCATCAGTTGTATTTGTCTTGTGCACAGCCTTGTGCTTTCTGCAGTTACAATTAAAAAAACGGTTTATATAGCAGAAATTAAACAGTAAGTGCGAAAGACTCAATCATGCAATTGGAAAAACAAAAAAACAATACCTCCTGACTGTACCCTTTCCGCCAGTGCGGACAGTGTTAGCCATCTTCATCAACTTCTCCCGATTCATCTGTAAATAAACCATACAAAGCCAAAATCATTAAATCCCAATCTCGAAAGTGCATTCATGAGATTCAATAGTACTTATAGAACTTTCCTCTAATACAGAAATCACTAAGAACAAAGTAGTGAAAGTTCTGTTGCCACATCTATAATAACCAAAACAATAAGAAGGTAGACGCGCAATCAAATTTGAACTCAGATGCGTACGAAGACGAGCTAATGGTGCTATGAGCTTAACCTAAGAATCGATTACGTAACCTCTTTTTGATTCAAGATACACAGAATTAGCAAACAAGTAAACATCGTCTTCAAAACTCATTTCGAATCCACACAAAAAAAGCGAAACGAATCGAGGAAAAACAAAGGCATCTGAAATTGATCCCAACCCATTTGGAAACCTCTAAAATTCGGAGAAAAACCTTTAAATCGATAAGCCAAAGTATAGAGAGTGGTGGATTTACCTTGAGATTTGATTATTAGGGATTAGGGTTCTTTTTTCTTCGGCGAGAGTAAGGAGATAAGAAGTGAAGAGAGAGAAGAGAGACGCGGGCGGCGCAGGAGGGTTTTGATCTTTAACTATATGCTATTCGGGGCCAAGCTCCTCTCTTAATCCTACGGTTTATATTAAACGTTCCTTAAAAGAAGCCTCCTTCTCTACCGTCGGATCGTCTAACAAGGCTTAATTAGCAATTGTGGCCCAATCATAGGCCCAGACTAAGTTACGCCATTTCATATTTACGTGGCTCTTTTTTGTGCAGCCATTTCGTTTCTCGGCTTAACAAAATTTCACAATCGATACTATCGATTGCCACGTTCTATCGCGGTGCAATGGGACGTTTGTGTTTATCAATGAACCGACTTGTTGTTAGTTGACAAAAATTGAGTACAGAAGAAGCTCATTGATTATTCATAATCTCAACATTGGTTTTATTGCATTATTAAGTTTTCTCAACTTGCTCTCGGTATATGAAATCCATGAATACAAAATGTTACATTAGATAGAGATATAGAACCAAAACGCAAACGCATTTATCACATAACGCGATTTTAAACAACCGCACTTACCCTGAAACTGTTTTCTTCTTCTACTGCTTCTTCTGCACAACATTCTCCAAATACCAATCATAAGTCTGCCGGAGACCATCTTTAACAGAAACCTTCGGTGTCCATCCCAAAGACGCGAGCTTAGAGCTATCCATCAGCTTCCTCGGCGTCCCATCTGGCTTCGTGCAATCCCAAACAAGCTTCCCTTTAAACCCAACAACTTCCTTCACAAGCTCTGCCAATTCTTTGATCGTCACTTCAACGCCACTCCCTACGTTAACATGCTCGAATCCGCTGTATCGATCCATCAAGAAAACGCAAGCATCGGCCAAATCATCGACGTGCAAGAACTCCCTCAACGGGCTTCCGCTTCCCCAAACCACAACTTCCTCAGCATCGTTGGCTTTCGCTTCATGGAACCTCCTCATGAGCGCAGGAAGCACGTGCGAATTCTCCGGGTGGAAATTGTCGTTGGGACCGTAGAGATTCGTCGGCATACCGGAGATCGCGTCCCACTGGTGCTGAATCCGGTACGCTTGGCACATTTTAATCCCCGCGATCTTGGCGATTGCGTACCATTCGTTTGTCGGTTCGAGCGGACCGGTGAGAAGAGCTGATTCGGGGATTGGCTGAGGAGCGAATTTGGGGTAGATGCAGGAGGAGCCGAGGAAGAGGAGTTTCTTCACGCCGTGTGTGTAAGCGGAGTGGATCACATTGGTTTGGATCTGGAGGTTGACGCCGATGAAATCAGCTGGGTATGTGTTGTTGGCGTGGATCCCACCGACTTTGGCTGCGGCGAGGATGACGTAAACCGGTTTCTCTGTAGCGAAGAAGGATTCGACGTCGGATTGGCTTGTGAGGTCGAGCTCGGAATGGGTTTTAAGGACGAGGTTTGTGAAGCCCGATTCCTGGAGCTTGCGGACTATGGCGGATCCGACTAATCCTCTGTGGCCAGCGACGAAGATTTTGGCGGATTTATCAGACATAAACGAACCTAATTTCATCTCTGCAGATAACTACGAGAAATTAAATACCTTAGAATTTTCAAAATTTCCACGAAAAATCTAAATTCAATTCCGCAATCATGTTCATTTGCAAGTTTCGATCTAAATGTTTTCATATGAAAACCTTATATTCAGATAAAGATATATAGAGAGAGGCGCAATTCGAAGATTGACGTACCGGATTCTGTAGAGTCCGCCATTGTTGAGCTCAAAAAACTTTCAAGAGCAAAAAAGGTTTTATGCAGGAAGGTGAGAGATAGAGAGAAAAGGGATATTGACTTATAGCTACCAGATTTTCGAAGTCAACGAATTAGAAGCGTAGATTTGTAGGTAAAGGTTACATTCCTCGGAGAATGTAAAATGGAGGCGATCTGAAACTCCGCCGGCGATCTGAATCGGTGTCGGCCATTTTTATTATTATTCAACTCAGCATTCAGATAGTCATGGCCCATGGGCCTTAAACAAGTCATTATATGGTGCTGCACTGTTAACGGAATAACGGGACTATATTAATCTGATTCAATCAAATTGTTGTGGATTTGTGATGACGAAATTGGCGCCGTAATAAGTAATAAACAAGGGAAACAGAACCCCTTTTGGGTTTGAATTTTTTTTACATCGAACCCCTTTTTTATTATGAAAAATGAGGTAGCAAACAATGAAAAACATTTTAAAAATGAAATCAACATTACTACCCTAACCTTGTAAGCATTACAGACTTGCAATAAAAGATTGATTCCATCGACATGATTGAATGAGAGGATTGCAAACACATACAAGTTGGTAGTTGCAAATGCTGTGGTGACCCGCAATGGTAAGTACATATTATAGTGTTCTTAGACCTCTTCTTTACAGAATAATTAAGAAGAAGAATAAAAATCAATTTTAGTGAATAGAAATTTCGTCCATAAGCCTTTTGAGAAGAGGAAAGAAGGGAAGGACTTGGTACTCAAAGAAGATGAAGTTTTAAACTGATTGGTTGCAACTTTGAGCTTAAATAAATAAAAAAGGAATGTTGGACGTTGACTGTGATATTGTGAGAGCTATCAGATATTCGTCACTGTTTGATTTCTTCCAAGGCCAAAACTGTTACTTGCATAACAAACAAGTAGCATTGCACCAGAACGGGTCTAAAGTAACAATTTGAAGAACTTTACCTATAAGTATCCGTCTCATCCGTGCTTGCTTGTTTAACAAGGAAGAGTCAAAATTTACAGCATCATGAGGAGCAACACGAATTACTCCTTCCTGAATCTCCTCTCTTTTCTAATCCTACCAAACCTTATTTCTCCTCTCTTTTCTAATCCTACCAAACCTTATTTCAGGCTTTTGTACACCCAAATGTGGAGAAATCCAAATCCCGTTCCCTTTTGGAATCGAAGACGGTTGCTATCTCGACGAGTGGTACAGAATTGAATGTCTGAACAATGCTACTTCAGGGAAAGATTTCCCGTTCCTTTTCAAGATGAAGATGGAGGTCGTGGATATTTCCCTTCCGGCGGCCAATTATGATCTCTCATCTAGCAACCGAAAATTTTCTTCAGTTCGTGTCAAAAGCCCGATCACATCCGTGGGATGTTCTAGCGATGGAAAAGAGTCCGGATCGGATTTTAATTTGACGGACACTCCTTTTTTTCTTTGGGAATGGAAACAATCTCGTAGCTATTGGTTGCAACAACAAGGTATCATTGACTAATGTTGAACCAAAGATGGTGGGATGCGAGTCGACTTGCACTACAAGCAACAATTCGCAGAGCATCCCATTTTTCGATAAAGTTGGATGCTCTACGTACCGCCAAATAACGACATGGATGTTGCCAACCAACTACGTACCGGTTTGCAATACAACGAAAAAAGAGGAAGACACCATCTGCAACGGGAAGGGATGCTGCCAGGTCAAAGCACCCGAGGGTGGTCAACAGCTCATTGGTATCACAATAGCGAACATTAGTAATGGAAACTTGACGACGGGAGGAGATTGCAAAGTCGCCTTCTTAACCGATGAAGACTACACTTTACTAAATGTAACCACACCAGAATTTTTTTTTCTCTAAGGGATACGCTACTGTTACCCTTGGATGGTTCATCCGAACGAAAAATTCGTCGTTTCTACAATCCTTGGGATGCCAAAACAGAGAAGAATTTGATGAAAGAGTCTCTTATATGCGCAGAGCAAAATGCACATGCGATAATCATACAATTTCTGGGATGAGTTATGCTAGTTGTGCATGTTTTCAGGGTTGTCGGGGTAATCCATATGTTGTTGACAAATGCATAGGTAAAGAGGCGAAGGTAATCCATATGTACCAGGAAATGTAATCTATATTCATATCAACTGAGTACAATTTTACGAATTTTCGTATGCAGAAATAAATGAGTGCCTTGACAACCCTTGTGGAAGTGACAAAACTTGTAAGGACACGCCGGAAGGTTATGAATGCAAGAGCCGCCATATTCCAGAAATATTGACAGGTAAGTGACGAAGTTTTTATATTTAAGCATAAAGTCTTTATGCTACTTGAAAAAATGAGAATGAACATCTAGGTTTTCTTGTGCGGGGTTTGCAGGTTTAGGTACAGGTATTACTGTATTAGCTTTAGTCGGTGGAACATGGTGGTTGAGAAAGTTTCTTAAAAAGAAAAGGACGACAAAGCGCAAGAGGAAGTTCTTCAAACGTAACGGAGGACTATTGTTGCAGCAACAGTTGCATACAACTCAAGGGAACGTCGAGAAGACCAAAATATTCACCTCGAGGGAGCTAGAGAAAGCCACTGAAAATTTCAGCGTAAACAGAATTGTTGGACAAGGTGGTCAAGGAACTGTATACAAAGGCATGCTTGTAGATGGAAGATCCGTGGCAGTCAAGAAATCCAACGTTGTAGATGAAGACAAACTACAAGAGTTCATCAACGAGGTCATGATTCTCTCCCAGATCAACCACAGACACGTCGTGAAACTC